CCACACAACAATTACTCAAGCCACTCCACCCCGTTACTCTGCCCACTCCAGTTGTAGACTACTGGTGAAGGCAAGAACACTTCACACAATTTTGCCAGAAATTGTAGCTTTTCAAGTTAATAGGTTTTATCCTGCCTATCTCTGCCAGTGTGCAATACACTTACCATTAGTGCGCGATCACCTTATTGATCATCAAGATTCTCTGTATGTATTAGTGTTTTGTGCAGGGCCGGATTAACATAGGGGCTGATGGAGCTGCAGCTCCTGGCCCAGGCCCAGGCCCATGGAATAGGCCCATTGATTTATATAAAAAAAAATATATTTTTTTTTACATTTTTTTTTCCCACACACTACTCTTAGGGATTCCACCTGGCTTTTATTTTATTGGCACAGCCAGTATTTGAGGCTGCCTGGCTGGTGCCAATATTACAGTGATACTTGCAATACAAATGCTGGTATTTTTCTCAGTATAAACAAGAGATTACTATGCAATACCAGCACTGGCCAGTAGGGGTCAGAGAGGCAGGGATAGGAAGTTCCAGCATATCCCTCCCTGCCTATCTATACTCACTGATCTGCAGGGGTGCAGCTACAGAGAGTCCAGACAGCCACTCCCACCCTGTAGAGACAGCCTACAGCTCAGGGAAGTAAGGGATGTGGGGAAAGTCTGCAAGGAGACATGGGGACACTGAGACACTAAGGGACATTGGGAGACATTATGACACAGACACAGTCTCCCAGTGTCCCCATGTCTCCCAGCCAGTGTCCCTGGTGTCTCAGTGCCCCCTAGTCTCCCAGTGCCCCCAGTCTGCCAGTGTCTCACTGTCCCCATGTCTCCTAGTGCCTCCATGTATCCCAGTGCCTCAAGTGTCTCAATGTCCCCATTTCTCCAAGCTAGTGTCCCTAGTGTCTGTGGCCATGGTGTCTCCTTGTCCCCATGTCTCCCTAGTGTCTGTGGCCCTGGTGTCTCCTTGTCCCCATGTCTCCCAGTGCCCCCATGTCTCAATGTCCCCATGCGTCCCAGCCAGTGTCTCTAGTGTCTGTGTCCCTGGTGTCTGTGTCCCCATGTCTTCAAGTGTCCCCTATTTTCCCAGTGTCCCCATGCGTCCCAGCCAGAGTCCCCTAGTCTCCCAGTGTCACTGGTGTCTCCGTGTCCCTAGGTCTCCCCCTGTCCCCAGGTCTTCCCGTCTTCCTAGTGACATGGGGACCCTGGGATACATGGGGACACAGGGAGATATGGGGCATTGAGACACTGTGATACATAGGATCATTGGGAGACCTGGGGACACGACACTAGGGGACACTGGGAGACATGGGGTACTGAGACACTGATACATAGGAACACTGAGACCTGGAGTAATCGACACATGGGGGCACTGAGTCATGAGACATGGGGCCACTGGGAGGAATCCATCTATACAGCAGAATCAAACTAAGTAGTTTTTGGTGATTTTACAGCATTTTCTCTTATGTCACTCCTTGTGATTTACATCATGTGATGTCACCCATACATATTTAATTATGCAAATTAGCAAGGCAGGTATGTTTTTCCAAGAAAGGTGGCAACCCTAACTACTTTTCACATACCCTTACTTAAGTATGGAAACTTAAGAGGGATGTATGGGAACAAAACTTGTGTAGACTGGCTGACAATGAATATAGTTAAAGGGACACTAGAGTCACCAGAACAACTACAGCTTATTGAATTTGTTCTGGTGAGTAGAATCATTACCGTCAGGCTTTTTGCTGTAAACACTGTCTTTTCAGAGAAAATGCAGTCTTTACATTACAGCCTAGGGATAACTTCACTGGCCACTCCTCAGATGGCTGTTAGAGATCCTTCCTGGGTCATGGCTGCCTAAAATGCATCCAAACATTCAGTATCTCCTCCCTCTGCATGCAGACACTGAACTTTCCTCATAGAGATACATTGATTCAATTCATCTCTATGAGGGGATGCTGATTGGTCAGGGCTGTGTTTGAATCATGCTGGCTCTGCCCCTGATCTGCCTCTTTGTCAGTATCAGCCAATCCTATGGGTAAGCACTGTGATTGGATTAGGCCACCACTTCTAATGATGTCAGCAGACTGCTTGTTTTTCTGAGTCTAACAGCATGCAGAGTTACAGCTTCAGGCTTGAATACAGTTAGATTTTGCTATATTTATGGAGGCATGAGGGGCCCAGGGGGCCTGGATGGTGGTGTTAACACTATAGGTTAATGAATTCATGTTTGTGTTCCTGACCCTATAGTGATCCTTTAAGGTAATGCTGACTTTGGTCTCTCTAACAATGTGCTTCTACACTCACTACATACAGCTTTTCTCTGTCCCAGACTATATACCAGGAGCTTCTGCCTGCTAGTAAGAAGGTAAGGAGACAAGTGGACCAGCGAGTGCTAGGGGACAGTCCTTAGAAAGCATTGAGCGAGCGCATCATTAGATGCATTTATGCCAAGCTCAGGGTGATGTCTGCATAGTATGCCGTTAGTTGGCCAGCTGCATGATTGGCAGGCAGCCTGACATGCATTCATACCAGACTGGCCTTCTAATTCTTTGGGCAGACATATCCTCTTTTTGGGCATGTTCACCCCTTTTGGCAGGTTACGTGATTTGTGTCAGTGGCACACCCTTTTACCATGCCCATTGACTTCCTGCTTGACTGGACACTGCTGTTAGGGGTTATGGATTTACTTGAAAGATGAAAACATAATTTAGAGGGAGATTAGCCTAGGGTATGTGTTTTCTTATAGCTGCTGTTTTCGTTTTCTCCAGCACCATCTCCATCAGATACATGACGCTTGGGAGTGTTTTACTGTTTTTGGTCGATATGATTCTGTAATTAGGCCCGTCATAATTGTCAGCACCAGGTCCACTGGGCTCTTAATCTGGCCCTGGTTTTGTGGCATAACACTTGGGTGAATCTGTGCTGCACTGGTTGCTGGGTATTATTGTGGCGCCATTTATCTTTGAACTTTCTTGGAATAGTGCTTAATATATGTTTAAGTTATGTGTGAAATAGGCAGTAATAGTTGTGTAGGATTGCTGCTCAAGTCAGTACACCAGAGGCCTACCTGCAAATCCAGAAATCTGAGATCTTGTATGAAAAACTGGAGAGGACCTATTGATAAATGCTATCATACTTACCAAATCTAGAGATTAATTATAACTATAAAAAATAAACAAGCTCACCTCCTGTCAGCCGAGCCTTTTCAGTGATTTTATAGAGTCCTGTATGTGATTTGATATCAAAGGCAGAAATTTCCTGTAAGGTTTTCAGCACATCTGGAGTGGCCCAGTCAGGTAAGGTGAAGTTGTGAGATTTCTGGAATGTAACCATCACAAAATAGTGTTTGCATTATCCAGGTTTAAAATAGTCATGTGCAGGTGCAGTGTTGGCAGTTTATTCAATGAAGTGTTTAATTAAGGTTTTACAGTTTAATACTATGTATAGAACAGAAAAAAAATAAAATAATAAAAACTGCAAAGAACATATGAACTGGAGCCCGAAGCAGAAGTAATGATAGTATATAGGTTGCATAAGCAAAGTTCAAGGACTTTGGAATATGCCAATTATACGAAAAAGGAACATTCTTTTCTATCATATTATCGGGTACAGCAAAGAGGGGATAAAAAGGCAGAGGATTAAAGCAACACTTCATGCACTATAACCACTTCAGCAAGAATCCAGGTCACCTCCTCCAGGACAGATGTTAGCTCTTTGTACTCTGCTGGTCTGGTGGTGCAGGGCTCAAGTTATTGGCTAAGAGGGCTCAGCTGGTGCTTTCAGCCAATGAACCGACCCCGAACTAGAGGACTTAGCTCAGGGGAGCTAACAGATGTTCCTTGAAAGAGCTTCTGGTTCTCCTGAAAACTGTGATCGGTGCTACAGCAGACCCCAGGTAAGTTATGACTGTGGCGGAACCAGCCTCACCACTGGGCATTGGAGAAGACTGATTGCCAGCCTCCTGCCCTGTGACTATGGCCCCATGTTGAAATGCTGGATTTTCCCCTGCAAAGACCCAAAAGCTGGGTCATTCGGTACTTTCCCTATGTGAGCAGTGTTACCCCAGATAGCTATGCCATGGAGCCCATTCATATAACGAAAGACTATGTGAAAGACTTTGGCTCCATGGCAATTGAACTGTATGTATGTGATCTGAACGCCATTCAGTAATAATTTGCGCTCAGATCTAAGCTATCTGGGGATATGTTGAATGTACCCGTTTTATGCAGTAGCTGCACAGTTATATATTTTTATGTATTTTATTGTATTTTGCTACCATGTGGCTAATGGAGTTTTGCCTCTGTCCTTGGAGATAATTGGATTACTCCTCAATTATCTCCAGGATAGAAGACTCTGTGGAACTGGTTTTGGGCAGAAAAACCACGCTTAATTTGGTCAAATAGGACTTTCCCTTAACTTTTTAACCCCTGAACCGATTGCCCTGATTTTTGAGTATGTGTATATTTCAAGCATGCAGATTCTGAAAATGTATGTTTTATGTGAATGGCATGTATATTTTGGAAGTTATTAATATTTTGTAAAAACTGTATTTCTCTGCCTGTGATAATTATATTACCCATTGTGTTCTGTTCAGTAATCATATCACAGGCAGAGGGGAGGATTTTGTGTGGGAGTGTCTGTGTGTATTGTACAGATTGATTGGTTGTATTTCAAAACGCTGTGGGCAGTACTATGTTTATGGATTGTGAATAAAAGAGGCTGTATGTGCCAGTACAGTCAGTTCTGCTTGACCTCAAAACAAAGTGTCGTCTCGTTATTGGGGGAATTGGATTGTATGCTGATTGCCAGGAGTGTAAGGTGATTGTATGCTTTCTTATGCTTCTCTGGTTCGGCGGGTGTGGTGTCTGCTGCAGTACTTGGAGTGCTCAGGAAGCGCTAGGAGCATCCTTCAATGGAGGTACCCAGTCAGGGTGCCAGGTGATCCGTTACAATGACACTGTTTGGGAGCAGTTTGACTACTTACCCTGGGAGGGCACCGGGGCACTCCTGGCTCCATAACCACTACAGCGCTCTGTAGTGGTTATGGTGCTTGGAGTGCTACATTAGAAGACCATTCCTAACTCCTAAAGCACTCTGCTAGTAGTACTGAATTGCTACTGGACTGGCAGATACCATATAAAAATATATATAGATATATAATGTATTGTAGAGAGTCTAGGGCGTCATAGAACAAGGACAGGTATCAAATACCGTATATCAGACCAGATTTGGGAATAGAAAGGATGGGTTAGATGGTGGAGGTATCGGGATAATGATATAAAAAAGGAGAGTATGGATGAATGTTAAAAACGGGAAACGGGAAACGGGAGGGGAATGAGATATGAATAGTGAATGGGACAGTTGGTTTTGTGAGGTGGGCCCATCTTCATTTTTTTCAAATTATAGTTTCATTTTATGATGACATGTGCATTTTTTTATGAAGCCTTACCTGACAGAATAGTGTATCGTAGACCTTCCAGATCCGATGCGTGCTTGTGTGGTCTTTATTATAACCGGTGTAATTAGCTAGACACTCAGTGAAACCCTGTTGGTAAAAATGGGAGAACATGAGGAAAGAATACGATAAACCGAGCTGGGTATTGACAGATTCAACTTTCAGTTTTGTTGTCATTTGCGTTTGACCGGCATGCGCATTTAAATATTTGTCCAACTCCAAGTGCAGTACAGGGAAATATTAAAATATTGCAAAAATCACTTGTAAGTAGAACTGACGTAATATTAATAATAATACTGCTCTGCAGTGGAGTCAGACCTTCTGTGCTGGTACATCATCAAGTGGATGATGATTAACCCAACTTTTATTCCTAAAATAAATAAAAACCATTAATAGGGACACTGTGGACTCCTAAAGCACTTTTACTTGCTGAAATTCTTAATATGTGAATAGTGTTTCCTCTTTGTTTTACATTTTACAAAAGTGCATATCAGTAGAAATTAATTTTTTTATAAATTAACCTTGTTACAACCCACTGGCTGTTAATCAGACACCTGGTCCTGTTACTTGGTTTGGTTAGTTAAAGGGATTCTCCAGTGCCAGGAAATAAACCCGTTTTCCTGGCACTAGAGAATCCTACCATGCAAACAAACAATAGTCAGGGATTTTGTCGGGTCAGCAGTCGTGGGTCTTGGTAGCTGAATTTTTCCAGCCAGGGTGAGGTGCCGGGGAGACTGAGAGAAACTGAAACAAGAAAAGTAACTATATGTGCCAACAGCATTACCTTCCAGCTCTTCATCTGGTTCTGATATTCAGGTTGTTGGGTGGTTTCTTTCATCAGCTCATAATATCGTGGGCAGTTCTTCGAAGGAAATTTCAGAAGCTAAACAAAATATATCACACTATTAAAGAGATTGAATATTGAGCTCCTTAAAGAACATGGAGGTCATTTTATTTGATGGTGCCTTTTAAGATATAAAATTGTTAACATACAAATAAATATTTTTCTCCAGTTCAAAGACAGGAGTTGATCAAAGTCAAATTTATTTAAAGGTCCCAAACTATGATCAAGGGCAAGGATGGCTAACCTTTGGCTCTTCAGCTGGTGCAGACTATGTTTCCCTAAACATGCAGACAACTAGGATATAGTCCCAATCAGCCAGAGTGTTAAATGTTTGCCATCGCTGTCCTAGAGAAATGAAAGGTAGGTTAAAGGGACACTATAGGCACCCAGACCACTTCAGCTCATTGAAGTGGTCTTGGTGCACTGTCCCCTCAACCCTTCTGAGAAACTGCAATAACTACCTTGCAGGGTTAAGACTGCCTCTAGTGCCTGTCTGATTGATGGTTATGTGACTTTTGGTCTCCTAACCAACGCTGGACGTCCTCATGCTCTGCATGAGGACATCCAGCATCTGTTAATTCCCCATAGGAAAAATAAAAATCCAGCGCACTCCCTTATCCACTAAACAGCTACTTTGGTGCTGACAGATTTTATTAGTTTTTTTTTTTTTAAAACACCTAATCTAGGCAAAAAATAATGGGGGTTTAGTTACATTATATGATCATACATTGCATAAGCCCGCCACAATGTCAATGTACCCCATCTTTGGCAGGTCCTACTCAAACTGCCAAATGTCTGATAAATGAGCTACTTACTTGGGGAAATACTTTCATCTCAAGTTCTCTGCAGTACAAGGCTAAATAGGGCCCTGGGATGAGGCACCTGTGACAGGGAGGGGTGCAAAACCAAGGAGTGTAAGCGAGTGTGTCTGTCAGTAAGTGTGTGTGGGTGTTAGTAAATGTATCTGTCAGTAAGTTTGTGTGACAGATACAGTGTCCATATGAAAGTGTGAATGTGTGTGTGTGTGTGTATTGTATTGTGTGTGACTGTCTAGGTATGTATGGGGCAGTGTGTGTGTAATTGTGTCATTATGTATGTTGTGATTTAAAACGAGTGTCTGTCAGTGAATGTTTCAAATCAGTTGGATTATGTATCTGTCATTGAGAGTGTGTGTCAATGTTTCTGTCAGTGCTTGTTAAAGGAGTGAGTGAGTGTGTGTGTGTCTCTCAGTGAGAGTGTGTGAGATGTGGAGTCGTTGCAAAAGGGAGGGGTTAGAAAGATGACCACGCCCACCTGGGGGCCCAAAACAAATTTCTGTACCAAGGCCCCTGTGACCCTAGGATCGGCCCTGCTTGCGGCATTCGCCTCACATGTGCATTATCGCCTCCCATTGGGTGACATGAGAGGGGGCGGAGCACCGACACAGAGCAAGGGTTATTGGTGCAGTAAGGGTTTTTTTTAACTCTTACACTGTGGGTGGGGGGGGAGTGGGGAGGGAGCTATAGTGCAAGGAATACAGCTTTGTATTTAATGCGGATCTACAATATCTCGGTAAGTGACAGTTTATGGTTCCGACAAACCTGAAAAAGCTATAGAAGCATTTACTGGGGTGAATAGTGCCGCAAAAAAATAAAAATTAAATAACATACTTATCTCCACTGCACATCCGTGTTCAGAGCGACTTCGCTGCCCCTCTGGCAAATCAAGTGTAATTCTTTCAGCATTGCCAAACACACACAAGCACACCCGCGTATGTCACAGCAGGGGTTAATTTAATTCATATGGCATGCCTAGACAGCCTCATATACATTTATTAAAAATTAACATTAGTGAGATTTTTAATAAATAATAATTATACATGTACATAAATCTTGGTAGTGACAGTTCTGCTTTAACAATAGAAATAAAAATGTTGGCTACACAGCAATAAGTGTGTTCAAAGACCAGGAACAGACTCAGTTTTTTAAAAAGGGTTTCTAATATGATTTTAATCCTGCTTCTCTTCTTAAGAGTGTGGCGAGTGGGAGCTTTCTAGCAAAACTTATTCAGGGCTCCTTCAGATTGCCTTGTTAATCCATGTTAAATGTTTCTGAAATACAAACATACCCGATCATCAGAGACGGGCACAGTATGAACAGGGATTGGCTGCCACAGTAGTTCAGGATTCCATATCTGAGAATTTTGGGGTGGGAAGAGTCCTGCCAGGTTTGCCTGAGCACTCATCAAGGTTCGATCGTAGTCTGTGCTGCGCACGTAGAGCTATGTGTTAAGAGAAGAAACGATAGTATGTATAATAAAAGGCATTTTACCGGAAATGACTGGGCACAAACACCATTTTTAGTTGGGTTAGCTAGCAACTCATGTTTCTCTTTAGAGTTCATCCATGTTTATTACGCCTCAAGACAGGTTAGTGATATCCAGTTATCTCAGACCAATGATAGGCAAGATAGAGGCCAAGAAGCTTACATTCCTTCTAAATTACACAAGGACCATTAAGAGAGATAGTACAAGGTATGCAGAGGAGGTTTTTCGAGGTGGTCCACAGCTTACATTATTTTGTCAGTAAACCTACTGCCCTCTATCCCACCACCACCATCATGTCTTGTCATTCTTTGTATTAAATAGAGAAGAGGATGTGAGAGAGGTAACAGGTTAGAGAGATGAGTGATGCAAGTGCCCTGCTTTCTTTGTTCCACCACCAGACGGCGATAAAGAGAGTGCATGGGGCTTTCAGGTCACAAACTGCACCAGCCGTGACCTCTATTATTAAAGGGTAATAATATCTCTCTATGTGTGCAGTGTTTCATACTGAAATGCCGCATTTGTAGACTTCAAGCGACGAAGTGGTCATGGTGTTTGGAGTAACCCTTGAAGCCAATGTCAAAAATTCTTAAAACAAATATTTATCCCTGCCACAATAAAAACCACTTACTAATCAGCTGAAACGCTTTGAAATTCTACAGTAGCTGCTTTCTTCTTTGCAGTATAAATGTTTATTTGCCCTCTGTACAAACTCATGTATGTTTTTAATTCTAATCATTAAAATTAAAGTCGTTAGTGTCCCTCATAGGTCTGTTGACTTACCTCTCTCTTATTATATCGTGGGCTCAGGAATTGCTCGTACCTCTTCCTCAAGTACTGTCCCAATTCATATTGCTGTCTCACACCCTCCTGGTGAAAACATAAAAAAAACGTGGTAATTATATAACGTCATCTAGTAACCGTTGTCCTATAAGAAGAGGTAAAGGACAATCTGAACTGTTGAGAAAGGCCAATATAAATTAATTACATATTTACGTAGCATCTAGACTGAAAAAAAGACTCAAGTCCATCAAAGTCAACTTTTAAAACTCATCTTTGTATGCTATTAATAAAAAAAAGGGAAATAATACAATTCGATGCGGTAGCCAATAATGGGAATAAAAAAATAGACACAAAATGGGAATATAAATTCCTTCTTGACTCCATGATGGCAATTGGATTGCTCATTGGATCAACAACCTGTTTATACACATGTTAATTATATCCTTAAATATTTTTTTTTAAATAAATCAAAAACAGGCTTTTTAAAAACTATATACAAAATTTGATGTCAACCACTTTGAGTATATAATTTCACATCTATGTGGCCCTTATTGTAAAGAACCCTTTCCTGTTGAAAATGCATTTCGTCCAGTCTCAATGGATGTCCTCTTGTCTGTTGTATATTCCTGCTAATAAATAGATTAGCACCGAGTGGTGTGTACCCATCCTGTATATATTTGT